TTCTTTTAATTCAGAACAATCAAAGTTGTACGTAAGAAAGGTGTTAAAAACCTTTTTTTCTCTAAATATTCCGAATTGATCAAAAAAGTGTTTAATTAGCACGCACGAAATTTAAAGACATAAACCGAGACAATTAAGTAACATTAATATCATTTTAAAATTTTATATTACATTATTTACTGCTTTTTGCAACGGATTTACATTATTGATTCTTTTTTTTTTCTTTTCTCCAAGCTTTGGACATGTACCTAGGTCATTATGGACCCTTTACCATATAGCCCAAAGCTTGGCTACTGGTCCGGCTCCACTCCAGCCTAGGAACGAGCCCAGTCAGCAAGAATTTATTGAAAGCAAAAATATTTACAAACTTCTAAATATAATTTTGGCATAATTTTACAAAGTGGTAAGAATGAATAAAATAGATAGAGTTGTTGACATTTTACAATTTAGATATGTTTAACTAAGCAAATATCCAGGAATTCCAATTTCTTTTTGAATGTTTATGAGATAAATTTTTTACGGTACGGTAATAGTTTAATAATTTTGTTTCTTTTTTTTATTTTTTTTTTATAAGTAAACTTAGTTAAGGTTAATGTTCCAAAAGTACAATGAGGAATTCATAGATATCCGTGAAGTTAGAAGAGTTAGAAAATAAAATACAATAAAANAAAAAAAAAAAAAAAAAAAAAAAAAAAAAAAAAAAAAAAAAAAAAAAAACTGTTAATTGTATTCAGAATAATTCGGCACAAAAAATAAGGCTATTGATCGTGGCCAATACATGATAGTTAAGATTTACCTTGATAAGTGTTGCAAATTTGTTACTAGAGAATGGAAGGGAAAATTTTGCTAATTGTTAAATTACTCTTGCAGGTTGGTACGTTATTTACGTCACACTAGAGTTGCACATTGGGCCATCGGTGACTGTCTGTGAAACATCCCTGAAGATGATCCGAAGATAATCCATCACAATTTTGATCAACTGCACAGGGTAAGGCTCTTCCGCTTAGCAGCCAGAGAACCTGCACGCGAAGTCGAGCACTTTAATCAGAATAGATTAACAAGGACCGATACCCTGCACCCTCAATTCCTACACAGGTTGATCAAACTGATCATCCTCCGGCTTACTGCCCGCAGCCAGTGATCCTTGACATCGGTATTCTACTGGAAACCATGTCTTTATAATCAATTCACTACGGGACAAATTAGAAATATAAAACTGAAAAGATGGATTATGATACGAAAACCACAATTTTCAGATTTCTTCAGCAAAACCAAAGTAACCAATTCCGACAAACATCATGTTTATTTGTTACCCTCATAAATTCCATGCAGTCTACTATCAAGTGTTTTATTTATTTATTTTTTAAAAAAATTGAAAGTCTCTTTACTACACTTGAAACATAAACTAATTATGCAACGAAGTTGTCAGAAACATAAAACAAAAATAATCAGGGTTACAATAAAATAAATACACGAATAATAAATCCAGGTAAAATAAAAGAGGTAGATAAGAAATAATTACATTTTAAATTTGATACGCCAATACGGCGTTTTATTTGATTAACATCACGTTAATTAACATGCTAACTTATGTGAGAAACTTAGCTTGATTTTTAACGCGCCATCTTGTTTACAAAAACTAACTAGCTCTTAGGTCATAGGTCACGTGTCTGTGTATCAGTGCACTTGAGTTGCAAGTATCCAATACAGGTTCAGTATTTAGTTTATTTTTTGCAAATCTTATATTCCATCTCACTGACCAGGTGGCCGAGTGGTTAGCGTGCCTGACTGCGGAGCTGATGGCTGCGGATTCGAATCCCGCTCAGCGCATGGATGTTTCTTTCTCCTTTGTGTGTGATTGTATGAATGTGACCCGCCCTATAAACGGGCTTGTGGTTGTGTGACGTGGGCGACGTTGCTCCACAGCTGTGACTTAGGTCCACTGGGTAACGAGAAGAGAGTAGCAGTTCTGGCCAATGGGACAATACATCCCAAGTGCCCCACATTTAAAAAAAATATTCCATCTCTTACATGTAAAACTGGAAAGTTCGCAAATATGCCATCAATCCACTATGTAAATCAGTGATTAATCTATAAATACTTAAATTTATAAATTACATTCGATTGTATCGATTTAAAATAACGAAACATATTTTTAGTCAAAAATAAAAGAATTATATTCAGCATTCTAAGAATAGGATACTTTTTCCTTACATTTGTCTAGTAAATACTAAAATATGAGAATTTTATCATACCATTCGAGTGCTACTTATAATCATTTGAAAGATAAAAAACAGCAATAAAAATGATAAATTTTATTGCACAAAACCTTCCTAAAACTTTTATTCATATAACTTAAATGTTGTATTCCTAAAACTTTTATTCATATTACTTACTCTTGGATAAATAAAGCAAGCCTCTAAGATTTCAAACAAATAAGAATTATCGGCCGAAATTCGAAAAAAAAGAAGAAAAAAAAGAAAGATATTTTTATGACACGCATTTTCATTTGGATATAATACTATTTCTGTAACAATAAGATCCAGATTTCTTAAAAAGGGTAAATAATTTTTATTTGCAATTCATAGTAAAAAGTGAATTATGAAAGTAGATATTTTGTATTTTAAAACAAGAATTTCAAGTTTCAGTAATAGCTTTTAAATTTGAAATTGCACGGATGAAGAATATTCCTTAGTCTATTTACGCTATTGTCAGGTCTAGAATTTTTTATAAAAAGATCACCTTTTAGCTAACATATTCTTAATATCAAACGAAATTACATTTAAATTTGATTTTAATTTAAATTTAAAACTCATTTGCTAAGTGATTTCAGGATAACTACATACTGGAATTATAAAACTGAACTTTTACATTTGATTTTGAAATAGTTTAGTTAGGTAATTTCACGTAATAAATAGTTAAGTTTGGTAATGTAACATAAATGGTTTAGTTAGTAATGTAACGTAATAAATGGTTTAGTTAGGTAAAATTTTATTCCACATAATTTAGTACACTGCAAAAAAAAATAAACTAAATTTTTAACCATTATTTGGTGCAAAGTTTCTCATTTACCCAAATTTAAATGAATGATAATCTCGAGTTACACCAAAATTTTGTAAAAGACACAAAACTGACGGTGATTAAACTGAACGATGTTTGTTTAAGAAGCCATGTTTTCTTCACTGTTTTGTCTCTGTGTAACGGGACTACTAATGCATGTTTCAAGTTTCTACTTATTTGAGTAGGAAAATAGTCTGTTTGAATCAAAATTCATTTTATGTTCTATTTTTATATTCAGTTGGAGGTATAAAATGGTTTGACGTATATCAAAATAACTTATGAATGGTAAATAGTTTTGCTACGGGAACAAGCAGATCGCTTGGCCAAGGAGGGCTGTAGTCATTCAATACCTTCGTCCTAAGCCCTTACCTACTCAGAGAATCTGTCCAAAATCAAAAGCCATCTGTCAAAAAAGTGGAGGAACCCCCCACTCTCAAAACTGGTATGCGGCCAAGGAACCGGGCTCTTCACTTGTTCATATAGGTGATAGAGAGTCTCAAACAGCAATTTCCAGATTGGCAAGTGGACACACGAATAGTCTCTCGTAGTTCGAAAGAAGAAAGACTTATGCAGTCTGTTCCAAATGTGAAGCCCAGCAGGCCTCTCCCAAACATATCCTCAACTGCTTGGGCCTATCCAAGAATGACTTATACGCTACTCCACTTCTTGTCATCGACTTTTTGAGGGTCAACAACATATTGGATCTTGTCAGACTCCGTCAGACAATTGGAGGATAAGGAAGAACAACAACAAGTTTTGTTACGTTAAATAGCAACCTTAACCTGCATTTGAAAGCTTTAAAAATGCCTAATAAATGCGCAACCTTCCGATGCTTTTAAAAAAGAAAGAAAATAGGAGTTTTGTTTCTTCAAAACTCCTACTTTTGGAGCAACCCTCTACTGATACTTGAGCTTTTGAAAGTATAAAAATCTAAAAAATTTAGCTCCATTTTATGCAGCCAGCAAATAATATTTTTGGCGTAACGTAGCTCTGAATTTTTAACAGTGTATAATGTGCTTATCCGCCCTTGAAAACTAATTGCTTTTGTATTTAAAGCAGCAGTTTTGTGGTTTTCATTCTTATATCTTACTACAACATCTCGAAGCCCCAGATAGGAATTTTGAATAGACCTATCAAATTAAACTTAAGCACTCAATTTCAAAACAATACTATTTTGTTTGTCAAAATGCAAGAATCTTTCAGAAATTGTTTCGAAAATTTCATGAATGAACATGTTAAGCGATAATTTGAAAACTCAAACTTGAAAAGTTAAGACCACTCGGATGAAAGTATAACAGTTAATAGTGCAAAGATTTTATAAAATACTTTCATTCGAATACAAATTTAAATTCTATCAGAAATTGAAAGACTAATCGTTGCACTGATATCTATTAGCTTCTGTAAGTTCATTTGTTTGGAAGGAAAGTCCTAGTAACACTTCTGAAAAATTTCTTGCTGAAAGAATTTTTAACTATACTATATTAATTCATATTCCAAAGTCTTTAAATTACGCAATCCTCACTGGATTAAAGTATTAAATGACAGTGCGTATTCTTGGAAAATGTTCCAAGATCAATTGGTATCTAAGGTCAATGGGCCACAAACAGTCTGAAGAATAATCTTAGAAAGTTATTCTTTCGAAATCAAACTAAGAATACGAACGCTAAGATGCAAATAGTTTGAATTAGGAGTTGGTAAATTTAAAGAAATCAAAGCTTGCAGATAAAAATTAAAGGCACGAAATAGTTTTCTACAGACAGCTTATGTATTTAAATGCAAATTTACCCTATACGTTACTAAAAATATTCATTTAACTAAGATCTTCAACTACCTTCGCCATATGTCCAAAGATCGAAACTACTAAAGCAAAAAGCCATAAACACCTTACGCCCCCCGTATATTACTTTATCTGTGCGTGCTCTTTTCAGAAAGAAACAATATCAAACTGAATAAACTTTATTGATATCAACTAGTAATAAAAACTACAAATCACCATAACAGGCAAAATGCTTATAACAGTAAAACAGCTTTGATGCGGCTTCAGTATTGAAAAGCACATAAATGGCTTAGTGTTAAAGCTGCTGATCAAATTTTTGTAACAAACAAGTTATAGAATAAATATAAACTTTTAAATCTTACATTTTGAGAATAGTGTCATTTAAAACTATCCAGTAGAATAATTTAATTTAACACACTCATAGTTTACAAACAAGTCAAAAAGGAGCAGTAAGCCCTTTAAAAGTTAAAACATAAAACGCAGGAACAAGAAAATTCGATTTAGAATGTTACAAACCATGCAAATTCAAAACACTTTGTCATGTAGAAAATTCAATAAAAGTAGATTAAACATTTGAAAGTTTCGAACTCAAAACCAAGAATGATTCGTAGTTGCAAAATGCTATTTATTAGTTCGAAAAAATTTAAAATTCAATTCACAAGGTCAGTATTATTAATCTAAAGATAAAAAACTAAAAGTTAGAAGTTAATTTGTTCTTAAAGGTAAATTTTATTTACTTTTAAGAACTTTCAGATCATTTCTTCAATTGATTAAAATTTTAAGAAAATAGCGTCTAAGCATGCTAGATTTTTATCAGAATTAGGTAAATTAAAACAATGTTTAGAGACTGATGGATGTTTGATAGACTATTTTGAAGTCGCTTTGCAACTATAAACAATCAAAAAAACTAGTGGAAATTCCATATAACATCTGAATAACTTTAAAAAGTCATCACATCAAAAGTTCTTCAAATTCGTTCACAGTCTTCATTGGTCGAGCCAGAATATCTGAAAGTCTTCCGCTCTGCTCCAGGTGCTGCTCGAAATTGTCGAGAAGGCCATTCTCCCATTTTATTTTCGCGAATAGCTGTAAAAAAATTTTTTGAGTTAATTTTAAACGAAACTTCTATCGAAAGAATTTTGTAATTTTAGCTTCAAAGTTAATTCAAGTCACTTACAAACATATCTTCTGTAGTGTGCATTGCCAAGAATGATATGCCTTTGATGTTATGAAAAAGCGTAATAGATTTTCCACCAAAATTGTCCGGAACAGAATTCCTAATCTACAGTACCTTAGTCTTAACTTTTAAGAACCAAAAAACTGGAAATTTCTCATTAAAAATCAATCCTTATAATCCTTATATTCTTATAAATATTTAACACTAGGATCATACGTATTTAAAATAGAGTTTTGCTTTAATCAGTTCACGTTTTATAGTTTACATATTCTAAACTGCATATTCTAAACGTTTGATGAACATGACTAGTAAAATTTACATTACAATCTTTAAAAAGCATTTTGCATTATAAGTTACTTTACATATCAATATATTCTGAATAACTATTTTTGTAAATGTTATAAGACAAAGAATGTAATAGTTAGAGACGAAAATTTAATATAGTGTACTGAACTTTAAGAACAAAATTATCAAAACCTTCAAGGCCATGACATTTGCAACTATTTTATAAAGGTCAACTTTCTATAGGGAGGATCACAGATGATTAATATTTGAAATCAACGTTGCAAAACTGTTTTAAACTACTTGCTAATACTAAATATATTTACAATGCAAATTTATAAAAACGCCAGAAGAGGCATATCTAGAAAAATTAAAATTCGCAAAAAGCGCAAAAGTCACGAAGCTGATATTTTTGATAAACGAGAACCCCGATCCTATATTCGGAACGTTTTCACAACTTTATTTTCCCTTATTCAGCAATTTATGTTCATTCCTTTAGATTGTTAAGTGACCCGTGCGAAGGTCTTCTAGGATGTGTTGCTTTGAGTAGATGAAAGTTAAATCACGATGACATAGTTAAGCACTGAGCACTTTGCTAAATCAGGGTGATTACTTGAAACCCATATAAATTTGTCCAACGATCCATGGGCATCAGCTTGTAACCATTATTCAGTTTGTTCCAAAATTTTGGGACTAACTTCCATAACAGATGTTGGAATGTGTCATTTTTGCCATACGTATGTGGCAAAATTTACCATAGGCAAAACCTCCATAAGAATATTCTATGGCATTTTTTATGGCAAACCTCTGACAAATCTTCCTAAGGGACTTTTCGATACTAAGAAATTTTTGGCCAAATAATCAGCAGGCGAAAAAAGATGCAAAACTCAGCATTACAAAAACAGGAGATAACTTCTATACAAACTACATTTATGTCCTTTTAAAGAGACAACACTGAATCACCACATAGGATATTAAATTACAAATTTTTTGAAAGCTTGTTCGATTGGAGCAAAGATAACATCGATAAATAATTTGATGCAATAACATTTTATTTAAAGCATTTTACTTCTGTACTTAAAACAGATAGCAAACTTTAGAAAAAAGCAACTCATTCGGCTCATTTCAACTTCAGCTACACAAGTTTACTGAACAATTTAATGGAAAGAGTAAAGAATTAGAAACTTTGTTAGGCCATTAAAATATGTTTGAGAGATTCCTACAAATTGACATAATGAATTACAGTACGCTTTGACATAATTTACAATAGCAGCCGTCTTCGTTTCCTTTATGAGCCATTTTTACAAAAATATTTTTAGGAGGCCCAACTAAACTTCTGGTCTTAACTCTCAAGTCACTAAACTGTAAGTCATTTAGAATTTACCTATACGGTATTTGCTTCTCATGAAATACTTCTTTTATAAATTGATCACCCCCCCCCACACACACACACACAATTTGGAAAAAGCAAGAAAATTTTACGAATTTGTAAAGTTATGAAAGTTTTATTTAATTTCTAAAACAATTGTTTCCGTTTTACACAAACCCACTACATAGAAACTACAAAAATATGGATACTCAATTTTTACCCTTATCCAGAGATCAATTTAAGTACAAAACTAGCACAATTTAGTGTTACGCTGTTTGAGTAAACTTTTAGCACCAACATGCAATCCCTGAAAAATATTCTTCAATAACGACGTTATTAATTTACAAGCAAAGATCAAAAATTAAATTTTGTTCCATATAAATTTTTAATTTAATGACGTACCAGATATAGCAGCGAGCATTTTTCGTCGAGCAATGTAGCTAATGTTCAATTGCTGAAGATCAATCTCTGTCAAAGCAAGGAAAGTAGGCAAGTCAATCTATAATAAGAATTTTAATTTAGTAAAATAGTATTCGTATTTCAGATTGTATTACAATTATTGCATATACAACTGACCTCTTGATTTGTAAATACGTCGTTATACTTATCAAGGTCTAGCAGGCACAAAAGTTGTTCTAAGTTTTTAACGGAACCATAATTTGGAGGCTGTCTTGGCACGTTTTCCCAGAAGTTGCTCAATGCAAAAGGAGATGACACTAAGAAAAAAAAACACAATCCATAAGTTGTGAATTACAATTAAACAGGAATAATTTTTTGAAATCCTCAGCAATATTGTTTAAATTGTCTAAGTTTGGGATAAATTATTTTATTTCAGCAGGATACAGGCTATTTCTTAAATTTGAAAGTTCCCTGAGTAGTTACTAATTACAACTAAAACTTAGAATTATAACGACTAAAAATTTGTTAACCCTTATTAAACTTAGCTTCCCGAAAATCCCGGAAAATACAATTTTACTATACAGTTTAATTGAGATTTGAAAATAAATATGAACACTAGTCAAAAACAATTTACACAGTTCCGATTTATTACTAATTGTTCAAGCTAAATTACCTGATCAAATCTTTTAATATTTCAAGAAGTGTCAAATATGTAATTTTAATAATTATGAAGATAAATTATGATCGAAAGCCTATTTAAACGATCGGATATCGTGATAGAAGTAATGAGGGCACACATATAGATCTGATCTTTACTAGATTAAAATAAGAAATGAATTAAACGAGTGGTTAGTTTTGAATAATTTGAAATGTAGCAAGTCATTTTATAGAGAAAAAATTTAAATTTTAAAATCTGCTCTGGGATTCTATATATTTACGCTTTATCATATTCCGTAAGCTATTGAACGTTGGCCAGAAAATTAGCTTTATGTTTTTTATGAACGATGTATAATAAATTAGTAATTTAGAGGTTTTCAAGGACATTCAAAAGTTATTGTTGAGGTAAGCCTCATTAATAACCCCCAATTTCAACCTCATTTATACCTCATAAAATCATTCTTATATAGAACTCTGCAATACTTTTAGTTTTGATTGGGTGAAATTATTCACCTCAAATATACTTATTCATTTGGCGTGTAGAAAAAATAGACTGTACACAAAAATAAACTCTAAGCTGGTTTCTCTAAAGTAAATTTCCAACCACCTAAACAAAAAAAGCGTCAGTGTGAATAAGACTTAAAAACCCCAACCTCTCCAGGTGTGTTAAGTAAACTTCAAATAAACATACAGTCAACCTTAACACCTTAACAAAAATTGAAAAAGCTCCTTAAAGGGCACTCTGGTCCCAATTTTGGATAAAATTAAGATTCTTTTGATTATGCTTAGATTATAAAAAAGTCTGGGTTAAACTTTTGCATGCAGATTTTAGACCGTAAAATTTGAAATACGAACCTTGAGGTTCTGTGTCTGATACATCTGCATTCCAAGCTTTTGCAGCAGCCGCTTCTACATTGGAGACTTTTGAATCAACCTGAAATTAAAGGAAAATTCTCACAGAACAAATTTTAAACATAAAATTAAATTCAGTGCCATTATATATTTAAAATTTTAGGAGAAAGTTTTTTTACTTGATAGTAGAGTGAAACAAATTTTAGTATTCTAATGATAATTTATTCTAATGACCGGGTTTTCATGTACAAAGTGCTAATCTTAAACACAAATGGTTGATCCCTTATCTATGATTTTAATTTTAGACCATTAAAATAGAAAGATAGCCGCAACTTAACATTTAGTAAGTCCCAAAAGTGATCGAAAATTTGGAACTCTTACATGTTAAAACTTCAGCAAGGCTAAAATTACTTGCCAAAAAATTTCAAAGTTTGTTTACCTTAAGACATTTCCATTCAAAATATTTGAATCGCACGTTTTTGATGATTTTTTTTTAACCGAAAACATCGAACATTCAAAGACTATTAAAATTGATTACGGAAAACACATGACAAATGCTTTGTTCAACTTTTCAATATAGCACTGCAGAAGTCAAATCATACTAATCTGTACTAAAAATAAGATAACATTCAAGGCAAATTTGCTGAAAGTTACGACGATGGTATTTTTAAATTTTACTTCAAACCTCTCCCCTAGCAGGGCTAAAGAGAATAAATAGAAGGGCTAGTTCACTCCGCTCTTACAGCTGAAGCTACGATTTCCCTCATGACGTCACTGTGTCCACAGATCTCGGAGATCGCAAGCAAAGATATGATAACTTTGCATCTTTCTCTTTGTAAAAATAAGTTAGACTTTTTCTGGTTATTAGCCTTCAAACTTTACGTGATTAACACATTTCCGTTCATAAACATAGTTCAAAAAAACTTTCTTGGTTATTATATTAAAAAAATACCATTTTAAACTTATAAAAATGTTTTACTAGTTGGCGAAAATGACACTATAAATACTTTATTTTAAAAAGTTCAGTTTTAACTTTAATTAAGAAAAATGAAAGCATATATCGACACTTTTATTGTCTACATATTCTTTTATAACGTGAAGTAGAAATTTAGAATTCCTAATTTTAAAATATGTCGTTAATAGCAATTTGTTCATACTTAATCATTGGGAAACATCAACCTTAAACGCTAATTACTGAAACAAAATAATTTAGGTTCATAATGACATTAGAAATATTACAATTGCTTATAGACATTTAAATTTACGATGATATAATTTAGATATTTAAATTGAAGAGAATATAATTTTTTAAAAAAATCAAATATTTAGAATAGCTACATTAAAAAATATGTTATGAAATTAGGTGAATTCCAACTATATACTCTATATTTATTTATACTTTTTCATTTTAATTTTGACTTAATCCATTTTTTAATTTTTTTCACCTGCCTTTCTTTTTGAAGTAACGAGGCGGTTTCTGTTTAGATAATGAATTTTTATTTAAGTTCTTAACGACAGAATAAACGTATTGCTGTTTTATATTAACTGTGTCATTTCAGAATTCATTCTTTACATAGTTGTTCATTTACTTTAGGGAACACGCGGAAAATTATATTTTTTTCCTTTTGTTTTTCTATCAAAATTTTTTCAAGTTGCAATCGCGCAAACTGGCATGTCGATAATAGTTTTAAATTCTTGTAAATTCACTGCAAAAATTGAGGAAAGTAGTTATAGAAAACAACAAATGTCTTAGAATATGTCGCAAAAAGAAATGCTCCAATATTAGTTAGAGCTAGTAAGGCCGAACTCTCCGTTCTTGAAGTATAAGTGCGAGCTTTGCGCCAAAGTGACGTCACTAGAGAAAATCGGAGGATTGGCGCGGCGAGAGCTACTTCAAAGGCGTGAACCAGCCCTTCTATTCTCTTCAGCCCTGCTCCCCTAGTTTCAATTCTGGTGGGTGATCACAGATGTAGAATCAGTTAGTAGTTTTAAAAACGCATGACAAGATATGAACTTGAAGAATCCCAGAGAAACTAACCTCTAAATATTCCGAAACTGATCCTAATTGGGCGGTAGAACTTTTTCTCCTTCCAGCAAAATCTGGCATAGACTTTGAGAATCCATAACCAGCCCAAATATGGCTTGGTGTACGAACTCCTTCAGCAGATTCTTGAATTACTGTAATTAAAGTTATTTGAATCTTGTCTAAAGCATGCACTTTAAATATACATTAGAAACTTAATATTTTCTGAAACAAAAATCAAAATATAGAAAGCACGGCTTCCCTACCATATTGAAAAAACATTCAGTTTTTAGTAAAACTTCAGATTAAATTTTCAAGAATACTATGTTTCATCTTCTTGATTGCTATTGAACTTTAAGTTTAATTTACAATTTTTAAAAAGTAATTATCAAATTTATGGTCTAGATCCTTCTATCACCTTACTTTTATGAATTAATTCAACGTATTATAATAGGATCTGCTCAAATTCAACTTATTTATTTTAAATTTCGACACAATGCACACAATATAATTTTCGTTGTACATAGGGATATTTTAATTGGGCTGGCTGGTTGAACAATCCACGAAAATTTAGTTTAAGCCATTTTTTTAATTTTTAAAACAAAATTAAGAAAAATATTGAAAAACCAATGTGTTACGAAAACTACGGTTATGTAGTTTAAAAACGAAACTGAATCAAATTTGAATGATTTTCTTCCAACTTATGAGCACAGCAAGTTATGGATAGTTTAAAAAGTTAAAAATTGTATATGTGCGCTATTTTTTTTAAGTTTTGCATTTGTAACAAAATTAAATGAAGATCAAGATGTGTACAAAAAGATAAATTTATTAAGCTAATAACAATTGTTGTGAAATTCATAAAAAATCTTTTACAAGCTTTTATTGTGTTGTTCCCTTTAACAAAAATTAAAGTGTGTTTTGCACTGTACTTAACAAATTACAAAGAATCATTCTTACCCTTACTGGCCAATAACTTTTTATTCTCGTAATCAGCGAGAAAGTTGCCGACTTCAGATGCTGCTGACCGCTCTGAGAGTAACTCTTTTCTCGCGAATCTGGAATGTTCGAAATCTGGGGTGTCAGAGGAAGTTGAAGATGCAGATGATTCGGGTCTGCTGCTAGTATCACTCTTTGGTTCCAGCCCACCAAACAGCCTAATAGTTGAAAAAAATCCATGATACATTAAATATTTAATCGATTGATATCTCAATGGATACTTTCACTATGCAATAAGATTAGTTCATTGAAAATACTCAAATACAGTTTAATCTTTATCTTTAAATTTTTAATTTTACAAGACAGTACATTCAAGTAACAAAAATTTTATTTCAGTAGAATTGCCCATTTATTCAATATCGTTCAGAAAGGAGCTTCCTAATAAACAGATGACCAAGTAGCTAGAAAGTGTTTTTAAAGATCTAAACAAGAATGACAAATAGTAAGGTCTTAGGCTTTTACCTAATCTAAAATAGCTATATCTGTCATTGAACAGCTGTCCTAATTTTGGGTTAACAACTAATGTTCAACTCTGTAGGCTTGTAATTTTAAACCCAATCAGGAAGACCAGAAAATTCCTGCATCAAGTATTAGAAGAAATTCGCTGTCGTGGAGGACTGTCTGATGGAACTAACCCGCATTTGCGTTACTTGAAGGAAAACTGCGAAACACCTCCACGGTTAATCAGTCGGCAAGGGAGGTTCTAACCCATGATCCGTTTACCAAAAATGATATTTTCTCAGTACTGCAGTCAGTGCGAGCCAGGAGCAGAATTAGTTTCATATTCACTGGAAGAGAGCCCGGGCCCTCATTGGGAAGCGAGAGTTCTGTCCCCTGAGCCACCACTGGCTCAACTTTTGATATTGAGATAAACCATCACTATTGCAAGATTTACTTAGCCATCGGATTGCCATGAACACAAAATAACTATCCTAAATCATGTTCGTATATTTTATGCCAGCACTGATAAGTGAGAGCCGAGTATGCATTTCGTATTAATCAGCCATCCCTGGGATTTGAACTCCATCTCATTCGAAGGCTAACGCTCTATCCACTGAGTAACAATCTGAATTAGTAGCCTAAGTCAGGTCCTCACGAGACTAACCCAGGAAGATCTAAGTAGCCATACTTAAATCAATATTTTTCCTTGATAGGCCCTATGAACAAACTTAACCATTAATCAGTCAGCCTTGAGCTTAAAAGTTTTTATTTGACTTATATTTTTCAACAATCTTTCAGGTCCATTGAGCGAAGTCAAGACAATTCAATATTGATCCATCTGTATGCATGTTCTAGTCTAGACTTCAGCTGATTTTTAGCTCAACTGAGGCTAAGATTAAATTGTTGCCTGAGCTATTTTAAGTTAAGAATACTGTTCTTCACATAAGTGAATTGATTATACAAAGATATTCGCATTTATGAAATGCCTTATTAAATAAGAGTTTTAAACGAAACTTATGTCTGAAATTTTTTTTTCAACATTAAGTTTAAATGTTGCTTCATTTTTAGTGTCATTGACCCCACGATAAGAGTTCCGTCTTTAAAAACTAATTCAAAATTAATAAGAGGAACAATCAGTTTGATGATTAAGGTCCTTGTACACTCATATTTAACCAGAAAATTTTAAAATATAACTCCTTTTTTAACTTTAAGAATGCAATTTTTCTAGCAAATTGCATTGCATGAGGTAAAGGACAGATTTAAATAATAAAATTTTACTTGTTACGAGTTGCCATATAAATCCCTGAATCTTGATCATCCAAAGTAGTTTGTTTATCTTTTTGAAGGTAATTTTCTGTGTTCACACCTGGGGTAAAAGCGTAACTCCTATCTGGGCGATTAATCCAGCTCTCAACACCTGAAATGTAAATCTTCAAATTAGCTCTAAATATTATCACTGACAATTAAACAAGATAAATTTGACCGATGACATTATACAAGACCAATTTGAATATATAAAGTTTAAAAGGGTGCTCACAACGTGGGAAGTGATTATGCCTAACCATGCAATTGAATCAGTTTTAATGGGATACCTGTAAGCTACGTCATGCGTGTGTGAACCTGATTGGCTTCTGAATAGACAGATGTCACGATTTACCTAAGATGGTATCACTTGCCTTACAATTACATCAGAAATATGTACTTTTCTTAACATTAGTTAACTAAGCATTCAGAGAACCGACTCTTCAGTTCTTTTTAAGTAGTTTTTACATTAACAGTAATATTTTCTAAACATCAAATGTTTTATTCTATCAATATATTTTATAAAAACTAATATTTTCAAATCACAGCCTTAGTTTACGTGTAATGCTTGTCTGTAGCTAAGTCTTAAATTACTTTAAGGCACTTTTGGTGTACATCAAATCATAGAAAGCTCATTTTTTACTTCTAAAGGAATTTGCTAGGGTGAAGTGTATTGCACGAGTATATATTTTGGAAAATTTATTTATAAAATTTACCATTAATGGCTGTCCAAATTAAAGCTTACAATTTTAATCGTACACATTAATGAGCTCTGAACTTTCTCCTTATCTTGTCAAGAATTTTAAAGTGATTCTTTCCACACAAACCACTTATTTACGGCATTAACTTCGTAAAATGTTTCATTTTTATGAAACATAAAATCAAACCATTTTAATATTGAAATCAAGAAACTAACTAAAAAGTTAAATTTAAGTTACTGCTAAGAAAATGTGGATTCTGTGAGATTTCTACAGGACTTCAGAAAAACTGACCATTTTTTTTCTGTCGACTAATGCTTCAAATTGTACGGTTCATTTTAAATTTCTTGCTTCTTGCCAAAGAGCAAATCATGCCAATTTCACTAGACAATATTGAACTAATTGGATCTTTCGCTTCACGATTTCAATAAGCATATCGTAAGAGTTGAGAAATTTCATGGTTGTGTTAAAAGAAAAAATTTGAAACACTTCTGAACTTATTATCATTACTTACTTTTCATGGGATACTGTTTAGGTTGAAGATTATGGACATAATTGTGGATGTTAGGTCTAAAACCCGGGTTGAGAATCGGAACTTGATCGTCAGGTACTGGCATGTTAGGAGGAAACACGGAGGACAAGTTGTTAATCAAACCAACTATTTGAGGATTTTGTTGAATAATGTTACTTAGAATTGTTAGAGACTCAGCAGTAGACATAGTTGAACCTAAAAATAAATAGTTTTACTTAACATTAAAAATCTAGTATAAACTTAGTATTTCTTCAGAATAATGACTTTAGTTACTTTATCTTATAGAAGGCAGTTTTACCAAAATGCCTCTTATATTTTAATTTGTAAAATCATTGATTCACTCTGATGCTTTAAGGGTTAAAACCAGTTTTGAACTCTTGTATGAACTACCCAAAGGTAAAATAGGAAATTCTAATTTTACATTAATGTGAATGTGCATTTAAGGAAATGAATTTTGCATTTAATCTAAATTTTTCTAGTTGATTTTATATACATAGTAGTAGCGGCGGATCAAGTGATGTTAATCACCTAAATAATTTGATCAATGTTTTATTTCTGATGCCAAGGAAAAATACAAACTAAAATAAAGAAAAAATTATTAATGTGACCGAAATAATTCGATAAGTTCTTCTGCACGCCAAGAACTATTTCAGAGTGACCAAGAAGAGGATTAATATTCACGGGCATAGTTTCGTGTAAATGACGAGTTGCAAAGATTATTTTTAGACAAAAAGAATTTCAGAACCTAAAAAATCGTCTGAAATACCCAGATTTCCCTCAATATCAAATAATTTCTTTTCTACAGTCAATACATCGTAGTCAGTGTGTTTCGAAAGTTTATTGGTTCATATAGGAAGTTTAAATATTAAACTTACTAAATCGGTTTGAATTTTAATGCAATTTTATTAACGTTATGAAATTTTAAACTAGAAAATTCATGTTAAACTTTACATTAAAGCAAATTTTCAACTAGTTAAATTAGATAGTTCAGTATTAAATACTTAGCGGGTTTTGGCGTTAGTCTTATTACAATTTGTTGATTTGACTACTTCACAAAATATAGAAATGTCTGAGGATGAACTAGTAAAAAATGGTAATGATATATTGTAATTGCTAAACTATAGAGTCTCTAAACCAAGGATGGGCAAACTACGGCCCGCGGAGCTATGGCCCACCGGAAAGTTTTATCCGACCCACGGATAGAATTAGAACTTGCCAATCCGTGGCGAATATAAATATACATCCATTTTCCTGTCTACTTTGTTTAAAGCTATTTTCGCTCTCTTTTTTAACAAAGTTACTTATGACCTTTTTTAATTTATTTTTGTTCTACAAAGCATAAATTGATGGAAATAGCTAGCACAGACAGCTTCAATTGGCAAAATTTTGAAAGTTCTTTATAGAATAGCCATAGATTGGCACCATCTAAAACAGTTTCTAAGTATGCCAAAGTTTGAGTTTTACAAATCACCAAAAGCTAGCTTCCCAAATTTAATATTTCATGCAAAGAAAAACCAGCGCTATGTATGCTTCATCTTATATAAACGAACAAGTGTTTTCAAAGATGACTCTCGGAAAAAATCCCTTCAGAAGTAGATTAATAACTAAACATTTAGCTTCGTTCCTTGAAATAAGTACATCTGACTTGAAACCGTAAAGTAAGGAACTTTTAAAAATGAAGTCACCATTTCATTCATCTCATTAAATATTTAAATTAAAACTTGCATATAGTTTTTTCTATTTTAAGTTTTTACCTGGCCCACCAAACTTTTTTTCTCTCGATTTTTTGCCTTCCATCAAAAAAACGTTTGCCCACTCCTGGTCTAAACCATAAGGTAAAACACATTTAACTGGTTACATCGCATTCATACCAATTTGGTAGTTCAAAACCGATTTGTACTTACAAGAATAATGCGGAGTAATTTGAACAAAAAGAGTAGAAACTAAGATTTGTTTGAAAGAAATCAGAAATCCAAACTAAAATTGAATGAGCAGTTCAATAAAGCAGTAACTGATAAAATATCGGTTACTTTGAAAGCCGTGGGAATTATTGTATAAGCTACAGCAAGTTATGTACGACCCATTTTTAGAAGTAACTGCTGGCCACAATCATTGCAAGAAACATTAAGTTACTTTTGGAGATTTTGATAGCTCGTCTAAAGTAGCATGATCTGGCTAGAACGATTAAATTTTCTTTCAAAAGTAACGGAAATTTTCCGCTGCTAATTATGCACTCAATTTAGCAGGATTACCTGTTTGTTTGATCGAGTTAAAGACTTCTCGTTCGTGCCTTGGTTTTTCTTCATCTCTGAGTTCCCTTTTGTTAAAACGCACTCTTCCAAAGGTTTCGCTAGAAGTCATACGGTAGCTGCTCTGTTTCAGATTGGGAGAGAGAGGATAGAAGTCCTCTTCGTCCAAATTAAGAATTTCTTTACGCACTTGGAAAAGAATCTTACCATCTTTTTCACAACCTCGAATGAGAACAGACTAGAAGAGAAAAATATATTTAACTCATAGATTGAAAGAAAAAAGTACGCTATATTTCGGGGTAGTACGCTATATTAGCTAACCTTCTAGACAAAACAAACTCACTTTAGTATTCTCTTTCATCTTCGGTCTGACCATAATGTTGATGTTGAAAGATTCCATAAAATTGTTAACCATGACTAAAATAAAAAAATTACAAAATTAAAAATAACACTAATTACATTTTTCTGCTGTGAACCATTTTACCTTTACAGTACTTAATTTAAGAAAATTTATGAAGCTATCGGGTTCGCTACATTCAATTCAAAATTTTTAGAAACAGATTTTGAATTAAACTTTCCCTTCAAAAATTAAGAAATGAGCTTAACTATTTTAAAGCAGAGATGTTAAATAATGACAATTTTAAAACTTGAAGTAAAAATTATTGAATATCCTTAATGACAACAAGATTTTTTAAGTCATTAAGCTAATCGCTTCATAGAAAACTAGTGGATAACACTCCCTGTTCGCTCACGCTCTCCAACCCCAGAAGATCGCTACGTGATCTTACATGGTTGGCATTGCTAACCCAACATATTTCGCTCACATCTACGTTAAACCAGAGATTTGTTCTAGCGTTAAGTTATTTAAATAAATTGTTAAAATCTATTAAAAATTAATTGTAGTCAGTAATATGCTACAGAAAACTCAATCGAGATTATTGTATTTTGACATACGCGTCAACAATTAACTTTAAAAAGATTCCCACTACCATGAAAAAAGTTGAAATTTTGGGGAAAAACTTTGGCATAGAATTTTAATTGGATAACTACGGTACGCTTAGTAGTGAGTGTTGCATACTCCATTCCAACATGCTTCTAGAAAAAACTAGATATACCATTCAATAAGTGCAATGGTTCATAGATGAAATTGTTTTGCACATATCTCCGTCAAGATAGCAACATAAATCTCGATTAGTTCGCAACTTTGTTCCCCAAATATTTCTGCTACCTCTGTTTTTGAAGTTGGAGCATTGTAGCGCCTCAAATGAGATCTTCAGTAAAAATTATGCTGAAGTCTATTGTTGGAATTTATGATATGCTTCAAAATTACGCAAAAGTGCAACATTATAATAACGAAAATGATCTACCGAAAGCTCAGATCTGCAATACGTCAATCGTACTACTTAATGCGATAATTAAACTAATGCTGGCATAAAAACATAAAAAGATCTCTCGTACAATTCTCCGTCAGAAATTTAAAAAGTCAAATCTTTTAAAGGTGTTTGGAATAAAGAGGTATGTAAGAGAAAACTAGTTTACTATAATCAAAAAATTGCAGTGCTAAGAATACAGTCTTTAAAATATCTCTTTAATTGATCCGTCTCTAATGACGCTAGTATATGTTGCACTCTGCAACAGTGTCTAAAGACAAGCAAACTCCTGATATAAAAGATATTTTTTCGAATTTTTTCTCAAATTTAAATCTAAGCTTTATCTACATACATCTCCACGCATTCGCTATAAATTTTAACTGCTACCGTAAACCAATTGAGTGCATTGTTTGTAGGCCAACATGTCAAGCCAATTTGAGATTCACTTGCACAATCAGTTTAGGATTCAATGGTTCAATTCTAAACTAATGATCAAGCTACAGGATAATGAATTTCAAAAGTTATACTGAGAAATTGAAAATTCAAAAATATTACCGAGCTTTAGAGCGTTAAATCTGATAGTTTTAACTGCTAAAGATAGATTAGTAAAATATATCTACTTCAGTTTTCTCTTGCCTTCTAAATTTTATTGATTAAAACAAGAACCTACATTTAAATCTTGTTCATTTATAGTCTGATATTCTTTGAGAAAGTATGGCAAAAGCTTACCTGGATCCAACTCTTGACCTTCCTTCAAGTCAAACATCAGAACAAGAGGTAAACATTTCTATACAAAAGAAAATTAAGTTCAGTTCTAAAATATTTGAAGTTCAAGACAATTAGTAAATAGTTGAACACGTGCGTTGGTAAGGTTGTAAAGCGATGAAAAATAAGATAAAAATTCAAATTTATTTTAAAGATCAACTTTCATGTTAAATGTTTTAGATTAGAAAATTTTACAAAGTTATATTCAAAAAGCCCACTCCGTTAAAAATTTACGTATTTCCTACTTTATGCCTTTCTCTGCTGCTGAAGCAATCCAGGGCGATCAACTTTATATATACTCTAAGTGTACATATAAAGTTGACCACCCTTGAGAATAGCTAAGAAAATTTCCAGTAATAGCAAAGTTTGATGTAATGTACGTTTCTTTGTTTTGTAAATTTAATTTAAAGTTATTTTCACAACCGTTACATATAATTCAAAATTTCATATTGTTCATAATTGTCGTCAATTATACCAAAAATTCTAAATACTTTAGTTTTTAAGTAGTCCACCACTCTATAAAACAATTTGCATAAGTCGTAGTTGGCACCCTGAGAATTAAACTCAATATGATTCGGTTAACTAAATTTTGATACGAAGTGAGAGAACTAGATAAGCTGGTGTAACTTCAAGCGTGATACCAGATAATGCAATATCATTCTTTTTTCAACCCTAACTTAGACAATTTTGTAGCCGCTCGTCTTAAGTTCAATTTCATGCCAATTTTTAACACTCAGTTTAATTGTAGCAAACTTAATTTACAAATATTTGATAGTAAAAAGCTTATTGTTTTACAGATTCTATTCTCCAGTTTTCAAATTTCAGGAAAATGGGTACCATGTATATTTAGTAAATCTGAAAACACATTTTTCCAGACATCCTAAGCATATTTAAATTTCAACCGCGAAAGTCAAATTTCCCCATTTCCCTTACATTCGTACATAGTTCTTTCCAAGAAAGAAATTTTTTATTTAATGAAACAATGCACTTTAAAATTGTTCTTTAACTCAAGTTATTGAAATTTACTTACTAACAGTTCTTGCCACGCTAAACACACGCTGTCGAAAGAACCTAGTATCAGAACCGTAGATTTGCTCATGTGTCCGGATTTCAGAGGAGTAAGCTGCAGTGGGTTTTCAGTACCCGCACCTGGAAAGATGATTTTAGCTCCAGTCTTGTTAGTTATCATTTGGATGTTGCTTTCACACGGTCCCATCACATACTGGTGATGCTGAGCAGCTATCTCAGTCTTCATGAATCCAATGATTGGTATCTAAAAATAATCGAAGAGACCTTTGATTTTGAAAATGGAAATGACTGACCCAAATACTAGAAGAATCTCCCTTCGAGAACATCCCTTCGTTAATTCTATTAACTTTAAAGTTTTCTTAATATCCTAGAACGACCAGAGCTGTCATTGATCGCAAATCAGATTTGAGAGGTTTAAAATCAGTTTACTATATTTGTGACTTTTTTTTTTAACTTTTTGAAATCTTTAAAAGCATGTAAAGTGAAATTTTATTATATATAATGAAAGAATTAAAATAAAGTTCAACCTAGAATGACCATTGTAATCAAAAAGACAGCTGCAGAGATTCGAGTATTACTTGGATGTAGCGCAGTTTTTAATCTATTTGCTTATCTTAATTTTATTCGAGCATGTGCCCGACTTATTCCACAATGTACAAGTTTTTTTCATAAAAGAAATCCTCCTGCTCGCCGATGCTCTCTTACCCCACTTAATTGTTTACACAATTTATATCTGTTCAAATAGCTTCAAGATATAAGGTAGCAATTTGCATAGAAATAACTGACCCACCATGCGTGAAAGGATAAATTTCTGAGAATTCTTATTTATTATCCATAGAAAAGGAAACTAATTTCAATAAACAGCTCTTTTCGTTAAAAATTACGTATGTTAAAATATGTAGTAAATCAAGAGATAAAAAAAGACTATGAAAGACTTTAAAAATATTCTGGAAGTTCTTTATTTTGAGCCACAACGAAACGTTCACCCCTGATTTTTTCTCAAATTACAATATATTCAGTCAGTGTTTTTGTAGACACAAAACAAAAATGTTCTAATACTAAAAACTTACATTTAAAATAATTTGCTGACATCTACAATGGTATGTAATTTGTTATTTTTCCTGAAAATAAAGGCAATTTTATGTATAAAAACTACATTAATACTGCAGAATTTTAAAATTATTAAAAATTAACTTCTATAACGATGTTTTAAAAATAAAATATTTATGATCACTTTATTTTGTTCAAAATGACGGCAATGGTAGTTTTAGGTAGGGAAATAGTGAACGTTCTAGTTTTAATATTTTGAAATAGGTCAAAAGTTCATAGTCCTTGTTAAAATTTTTCAACTTTGGTAATGCTCTTAAATTCTAAAACCTTATATTCGAAACTTAAGTCATTTGCTCGTTTTTTTTTTTTTTTGAGGAAGCTTTTTACTATAAATTAAAACATACAATATTTCTCAGACAAGGATCGTTTTCACCTTTTTACGAGTTTAATACATACCGTCTTTGATCCAATTAGATATTCCATCAATAAGGCAAGTCCTTGTCTTAATCGTGAGAGAAGTCTTTGACATCCTCTAACTTCGAGAACTGTTCGACCCATACCAACCGGACCCACTTGCCAAAAAGAAACGTTGAAGCTGTAAGTCTGCTGGATATGTGAAACGGCAGGTGAAGATTCTTCTCCTGGTTTGACGGATTCGCCGTTTGGAAGTTCAAACGTAAACACAAGTGGCAGCAGATCCTGGAAGAATAAAGACTTTAGATAATGCTGTAACAGCTTTTATGTTTAGGCAAATTGAACTTTGTAATACTAACTCTGATTTTCGAACGAGCCATTTCAACTCCAGCAGCTTGACCAGCAATAGATACCTATATAGGGAAGAGTTTAACTTTGGTACATTAAAAATTCGAAAAATGATATTTAGTATTCCTAATTACTATGGCTGTAACAAGAACAGATTTCAAACGAAATTATATAAAAAGTACATCCGAATCTCACTCATCTTTATGTACAAAAATTTGAGGTTTGTTTTAATTCTTCATCTATGTGAAAACCTAATTTGAATAGTGGATCAACTCCAGTTAAAAAGTTGAAAATGTCGTGTTTTTGCATAAAAGTGAAGATTTTTTAAAAATAACGCATCTTCAGCTTAATTCTGCTGCCAAACAGAAGCACAGATTCCAATAAGACCTTCATATATAAAGTGTATAAATCTTCATTTAATCTTAACAGTTTACGTTATGAGTCATTAAATGAATGCTTAATGCTAGAGTAATAATTCACACAAACTAAAATGTAACTTTATCGTGAGCATTAAAGGTATTAATTTTTTTTAAGCTAACGTTTGGAAAGTTGCGTAAACTTTTAGATATTCACTTTATTTCAGATAAATCGAATGGAAAATGTAGGTTATGACTTGGAGTATTCTACACATTTTTTTATAGAGATTGGATGAAAAAATTAAGTTGTAGTGCAAGTTTTACTAGTTTTCAGCTTTCAAATGAACTCTAATTTTAAACTATTGAAGTTGGAATAAAATTTAACCAAAGTTTTTCAAAATTAAAAACTAGAAGTAGAGAGTTTAAAAACAGAAAACCTTTAGTATCAAGAGACAAAAATACTAATAAATACTGGATAAGAAAAAACTAATTTGTACTAACTTTAAGGAAACTTAAGGGTGATATTTATATATCTGGGACTTCAGTTAAATGTAATCATAAGTGAAATCAATGCTAACGAAAACAAAACTTTTTTTCATTCAAACACTAAGCAAAGAATCAATTGTACTATAAGAGACTAATAACATGAAACTTTACTTGTAAATAAACTTCCTTTCCCGAATCCACGAACCATTCAAAAAGAATTAAGAGCTCATAAGTATGATATTTGGAATTACGTTTTTTTAAACGTGAAAAAAGTTATGTCACACTTTAAATGTTATCTAAGTACATGGTGTACCGCAAATGACAGATGATTTGAAAAACAATTAAAGATGTTCGATTATAGAGTTGTTTAGAAAATGAGGAAAATTTAATATCTGCAAATTTTATCACCAGATGAAGCTTTTAAATATTGTAAGACTTTTGCTCGATGTCAGGACAAATAGTAACCGTTGCAAATATTTGTTAGAATAGTCTTAGTCCATATCACATTTTTACTGCAAATTGCTCTATTTTGAATATAAATATTTCAGTTTTTCAATCAGCAACACCCTCTACTAAAGATTATCTAAGGACCGGAATTATTTTTAAAAAAAATAGTCAAATGCAAAAACAGAATGCAAACAAAAATTTTATTACTTTTATTCAGACCTAATTTTTTGAACCAATCAAGTCAAATTATAAATTTGAGCAAAATTAATACTATGAAAAGGAAATATAACTGGGGTATTTCAGAATCGTGGAATCTTTCTTCAAAGAAACTACTTAGCCCTTTGGTGTAAATTTTATTACATATTTTCACACTTCTGATTTTGTATTCATTTAGGTCAAAATAAGCTAAAAATATTATATTTAGCGTTTGAATAGTTTATGTTTATGAAATAAACCATGAAACACAAGTGTCTTCTGCGTTAAAGGGAAACACTCTATTTCTCTCTTCCAAATAATAATTTTTCAAATTCGCACTTACTTGTAGTCATCTATTAGTTAATCATTGAAGTTTGGTTTACAAAATTGGTAATTTTAATATTTAAACTTTAAATTTAAATATTTAAACTCTTGGATTTCAGTAAATATAATTCCGATAATGTAGTAGATTTCAGTAACTGAACTATTACGCTGCTTTTATAATATAAATACATTTGATTGTAATTAGAGCATCAGAAAAATATGAAAGGGACACCGGTGCCCCACCTGCAGAAAAGTGTTGAAGCTGCAAAAACAAATATGCAAAGCTTCTTAAAGATTCTTTTTAAAAGTTTTGTCAAAACTGCTATCAAACCTTTACGATTGATTAAAATGAAGATCCAGAATACTGATAATTACCTGGTTACTTTTTTCGACTGTGCTGTTCCTGTTGGAGTCTGGAAAATGAATGTGGCATCCAGTTTCCTCCATTACTTGCTGTATCTTGAAGCCTCCTTTGCCTATAATATAGGAATGGTCGGAATGTGATACGTCCATTTTTAGAGTCACTCTGTTCTTCTGCAAACGGAAAAAAAAAATTTGAATTATCAAATTGCACCAAGCATCCGACTTTTGTTATACAACAATATTGTACTAATTTATAAAATTTGTTAAAACAAATTTAAGAATTTCGATGCAAGGCTTTGGAGCTTTTAAATTTGGAAACAATTTTCCACTATCCCATCCATCCAAACGCCTTACCAACTGCCTGTAAATTTGTTGCTGCTTATCCTCATTTGGCCTGACGAAGTCAGACCAGATCTATGAACCCGTTGACCTGAATGAAATCGAAGACCATGAGGAATAGAGTAGATGTCTTCCAGTTTGTAAATTTAATTTCAGCAAATATTCCCCATATGAAACTTACTAATTGCAACTTATTATGGTACACTAAACTTGCCCACGCTTAGTTCATTAAACGTTCGATATTATAAAAATCGAAAATTTCTAGAGTTAGGAAAGTTCTTAAAGAGTTCTTCCAGGAACTTAGTTGATCAATACCAATTTTCATCATAGATTTTATGAAGCATTTTTTTTAAATGCACTAGTTTAAATTTTTAAATCTTCGTACTATGGCAACGCAAAAGGTCCAGCTAAAGTGCTCAAAGACGCTACTTTCAAAGCATTCCTGCACTGGTAACTTCTTAGTTGACAAAAATATGGTCAATGACGACCAAACAAAAAGAATTTAGGAAAAGTTATGATATGCGAAAATTCTAGATGTGTGAAACTCCTTTTGTAAGGGAGATCATGGACAAAATAAATTTAAAAGGTAATAGTAAGACTAAAAACAGCTTTCAATTAGTTCTAATGAGACAAGTGTTTGAAACATTGCCATTGATCAGATTTAATTATTGAAAAGTTATCAAATGGGAGTGAATATCATTATATATTTTGTCTATTGCCACGATTCAAGGTAACAATTAGTACAATTATACGTAAGCTTTTATTGAACTCTCATTAGGAGAATAGATTTTGAAGATTAACATTTTCAATTTTGATTTTGAGATAACGCTAAATTGCTTTTGAGTATAGCAAATTTGATAGACCCTAGTGATTTGCATCGGACACTTTTATTACAGTCAATATAAATGAACAGGCTGAGTTCTAATCTTAAAACTCTGAATCTTATTTCATACATTTAAATGTTGGTGAACTAAACCAATTTCAACGAAATTAAACAGATTTAGCAATTTTATTACCACTTAGAAAAAAACAAAAGTTGTCAATCATGCAGGCATATTTGTACACCTATATTCAATAATTAAAATTTTCTATTTTGAAGTTAATTAAATATTTATAAAATTACCTTAGTATCCAGTATTTCCAAAATCTTTTCCTTCGCCTTCAGTACATCTTCAGGTTTTCCCACTATTTTAACATGGGGGTCTAAAATGAAATTTTCAATTATTGAATATTTATAAAATATAAAATCGAAATTTTATGAAAGCTTGGAAAATAAAAGATAGAACAGCTTTTTTAAACCCACCTTTCTTTGATTTAGCTCCGATTTTTAGTTTTGAAGGCCATGATATTTGCGTACTAGTTTCAAACATCACCTAATTTAACAGATTTCATTTATAAGTAACAAATTGACTAAACACAGATTGATAAAAAATGCAAGTTTTACTTACTCTTTGAAAGAATTCTTCAGCGTTTTCATTAGTTTCGCTAGTACCTGAAAGAAATGTTCTTAAGTTATGTTTAAGGCATGAGAAAGGAAAATTAAACATATTTAAATAAAAGAAAAATTCAGATCAAGTTTTATAAAATGGACAAAAGAAATGAAATCTCATATGTAAGGTAAGTTTTTCTATTTCAAAGTGAACTGAAACATGCAAAATTCAAATTTTATTTTATTAAAATGAGAATTTAGATTACCTTGAAGGAGTAAAAAATTTTTTATCATTCTGTTATTGTTTACTGGTAATTACTCATTCTGAGAACTCATTCTTTTAAATTCCTATAGATTTTAAACATAAATTCAGATTTTCAAATCAAAATTTCATCTGAAGAGTCCATAACATTTAGTGAAAAGTGGTACTGTCACACATCACAGATATCTGCTTTGATTCGAAGACCTCGTAAGAGAGACCGAGGTTCAAATCCGTGTGACGGCTGACGATCCATAAATGGCTCCCGGATCCCACCAACAGTACTGGTGTAAATTGGTTACAGTAAGACAGATCACGGGTTTTAAACCTATCAGACTAAATGTGGTGGCCTTAATCTACAAGTGACGCAAATGAGGGCTAGTGTTATCAAAAATATAAGAATGAGAACGGTGATCATATTTTAGGAATTAAGAGTCCGAAATCAGGAGATTCTCTTGCCTTCTGGGATAAGAGTTCCAAATAAAAAAGTACAGAGTTTAATAATGACCGCCATTCTAATAAGAGTTGAAAGTTCAATACCAGTAATAAAATAAATTGTAAGTGACATGCGTAAATTATGAAACCGAATGCTCCAGTCGAAAAACTTGATTTTATACAATCATGGTTTGGGCCACTTAGTAAACTTTTAAATTTTACAGGCATCATAATACAAAGCTGTGTTATACGATCATTTGATACAGTTGAGCTTTATTAGATGAAGTAAACTGGATATACCAGCAAGCAATATTTTTACCAATACATTAAGAGCCCCCAAAAATGATTAAAGTAGCGAAAACTGTTTTACCTTGCCCGAGTCTGAGATCATACAGTATAACCTACGGCATAACCGTATAATATCTACCGTATAAATGTCATATTCAAAATCACAAAATATCTCCGGTTAAAAAAAATTATATAGGGAAAATTATTGGAATTAGTAATCAAAAACGTTAAAGCGGAAAATACTTTTTTAAAGCTTTTAATTGATCTGGCTCTTTTACTTTTAGTTTTTTAAAGATATCTGGTCTTGATTATTCGGAACAGTTTTTGCATACAATTTAAGTAATTATCTCCTTTTTCGAAACTGGGGAAGTGCTTAAACTGATAATTTAATTCTTTTGGAAACTTGTAATGATACAAGATCATTCGGCCTCTCAATTTAATTAGATATTTTCACTTTATCACGCACATCTCTTAGCCCAGATGCCTTTAAAATAAGCTATATGTCATTACATTAATAAACATTGATATACTATTGAAGTTTTAACTTAATTTAGTACTATATTTTTAGCATTCATTTATATTTTCAACTTAAGAATCTTATACCAGAATTCTCGTTGCGGTTTTTTTAACCTGTTGTATATCAAAAAATAATTTGCCCGTTATCAAAATATACCCCACTACTTCAAGTCGACTGACTAAAATATTTCCCTATTTTTTTAAATAAAATAAAACTTCGCTAAAACAGTTTGAGGTATGTCTACGTTAAATTGAAAAGTTATGATTTTAAAAAAAAAACTAATTTTTACCTTGATAAAAGTGCCTTTATCTCAAAGCTTTTTCCGTTATTTTCCTTCTTTCATAAAATCAAAATTTTAGTCCGAATTACTTGAAATTTCGCATGAATGTTTTCTATACATATGTCAAAGGAATAGACAACGGACTAGTTTATTAAACTATTTTATTTCATAGAAATCGCAACTTTGGACTTTACCAAATAAGTTTTCATGTTTGCTGCAAAATATCGATATACTATATGAATGTCGATTGCGTGAGTTATTCTATTCCCTGAGTTTTATAATGAAAAAAAGCTAGCCAATTTTGAAGGGTGGATTTTCAATCAGTTTTCCCTACCATATTATCAAAACAAAATTCACATTTTTGTAATCATACGACAATGTTTTAGTGCATAACACAAACTTATATCCGAATAAAAGATTTCGTTCCAGAAGGTATTTGGGTACTTTAAGAAAAATTGATTTCAGTATGCTTTTTTCGAAGAAAAAGTCGCATTTTGCGAAACTTGCTTCAATAAATGTAAAAATTTCGATGTTTTGTGCAATTGTTACCCCAAATTGTACCTGTAAGTTGGTTAGGCCTCGACATGTGCATATCTATAGTTTAAGTTTTAAATAATGTTAAGAAAATTTTTTTTACAATTTTAGTGCAGCGGTTCCCAGTTTTTTCTGCTTCGGAACCCAAAATAAGCAACCTTCTCTCTGCGGAACCTCAACTTAATGAAGTTTAAGGTTATTGTAAACGTTATAACCTATGAAAGACCATCTGAAATATTAAATTAGAGTAACTAAGATTTTTCATTGTGTTATTGATACTCTTGAATTAAGTTTTATGTTCGGCAATTAAATTTGCAGTCATTTTGCTGTATCTAGTTATGAATTTGTTTCTGGTGTATATACACAACTTTAAAATGATAAAATATAGTCTAATTATAGTTTACTTCGAAATAAACATAAAACTGCTATGAACGTTGAAAATTGTTATTGTGGAAACATTTCTTTATTCAGTTATTCTGATTTAAAAAGCACGATAGGAAATAGTAATGGATAATTTTATAAATGCTTATTTTTTGTAATTTGTTCAATATATTGTTTTCAGAAATACATTTTCCTTCAAAATATGACACTTCTATTTCATTTGGCAGTTCACTTGAAATAACTTCATGTAGGCAACCGTAAGACTAAACTAATTAGGAATTATAAGTAGGATCTAAATGTAATCAGATTTTAATAAAAGTAATCAGATATAATAAAAACTCTTGCACATAAATAATTCAGTAACAAAACTGCACTCTTCCATGAAAACATGGGGTTCTGCGGAACCATTTAGGAACAGCTGATCTAACACACTCAACTGCATTAAAAATATAGAACAGAAAAGTAAGAAGTTTCAAACTGCAATATTATCGATGTTGAAATTGTTTTATGAAACGTTAATGAAATTCGCATGTTATGGAGTAATTTTTAAAAAATAGTATAATATAATAGTCTAGTGCTCCTATACTACGCTAAAAGTAACCTTTGCTTTATACTAGCAATTTTGATCTAATCAAAAGCACTTTACGGAAATTTTAGTGCAAACAAAAAATTCCTGATACGTCTATCTTTGACATGAATCTTTTGTAAGTTTAAAGGAGAAATTTAAAAGTACATTTGAGAACCTTTAAAAATTAAACTTAGGTATACTAAAATATAACGTAATATATAACTTATCAGATAACTGATGATGCACATTAAACTTTAAATTTGATCAAGATTGCTACTCAATCACAAGATAGTATTAGAGCAGATTTTTACTTTGAGTTCTGATTAAAGTACCCTTCAAAAAGTAAACTAAAGCTATACCCCAGAAATTGTAGAAAATTCTTAATTTGAGCTTAAAACGTTTTAAAATACTATTTTTGTATTATAACAATGCATTAAATCTTACTTCATTCATCTATTCTACCTCATAAAGCCCAATAAAACTGAATTAAATCCTTGCAGTTCGTTAAATTCATATTAAACTGATATACTGATAAATAATTAACACTAGAAAGACAGAAACTTAGTATATACCTATATTGCCCAAAAGCAATCAAAATGACTGGATAGTGAATGCGTAAATAATGTGTAAAGAAATTTCTTTAAAATGAATTTTTAATATTTTTTTAAATCATTTACAGTTATATAACAAGTTATTAGCAAATATTAATAAAAAATTTGTTTTACAAAAAGTTATAAAATTCTAATAAATTGTGTCATTATTACATCATTGTTTTTCTAATTTGAAATTGAAAAGCAGTCAAAATGATTTCCTTGGGCAATCTAGTGTTAATACTGAAAGTTGAACTGTTAGTAATTTTCGATATAAATCATACCCATGTATTACTTATGCTATATGCAGATTTAAGAAGGTTTTTTAATTTAAGCTGGTTAATTTTAAGTTATATTCAGAATATTTCAAGAAAGCCCATGAAGGTTTTAAATTTTGATATTCAAAAAGCAATTGAATGTCTGTTTTACATAATTGAGTATACTAATTTACAGACTTTATTCAAGTTAAAATAGTAAGTCAAGGATCACAAAGCAATTTAAAAAGTAATACATAAATTTCCATTTAAGTAATCTTCAGGTCATGACATTAAAGACATTTAATTTTAAATTAGACAAATTTTTCAGAATATTTAAAATTGATTCTTAAGTTCTGTTCATGAAAACTGTTAGCCATTCAATAATGACAAAACATTAGAAGAATGTGTCAACCCAAATAAGTAGATTTGACAAATTTGTGGATGCTACTTAATTTACTGATGTAACATAGCTGGTACGTTAATAGAAATTAATGCAAACTTGCATCGCTAAATTTCTTAGAATGAATAAAATCAAGCAATAGCAACGCTTAGGGCTCAGTTTTTTTTTCATTTAAAGGAAACAGTTGTTCTCTTGTATTAAGCAATGACAAATAAACTAGATAAAATATAATTAAAAGTTTGAAAAACGTAATGGAAAATTCCAAGAGACAAACCATTTGAAACAGTTTAAGCCCATTGCAATTAGTGAATAACAATTTTCCTTTTTACACAGTTGTAACAAACAAGCAGACAGAAAATAAAAATTAAGTCCTATGCATACATGCAACACTAACGTAATTTAAAGCTTAAAATTGTGCGCTTTTTTAAGAATACCACTTGCTACTTTCATCTATTGTTTAATTATGAAGATTTGTTACACACATTAACATAAATTTTAAATATATAAGAAAAGACAGAAATTTTGACAACTGTTTAATATTCTTAAGGTGTTTTGCCAAAGCTTTTAATTTGCAAAAAGTTTCTCACTGTAAGTTAAGGTTTAGCAGAAAACGTAAGTTATATCATAAGTTTTTAAAACAGTTAAAATATTAATCCAAACTTAACTCAATTAATTCCAATTTATAAAACCATATTCAAGTTCATACAAAAAAGGTACATTCGTTTTAACATAATTTAATTGGGTATCCCATAACCTCAGGGATTGGGGTATAAAGGTATACCATTTGGTATAAATAAAGATTCATTTAAAAGGAAAAAACTTTAGTTTTTGCATATCGATAATCATTTATTAAAAAAAGGAAACTCAATTATTTAAGAAACTAATGTATATGGATAATTGAAAAGCTTATATTCCGTTTAATCAAAAAATTTAGTTAACTAAATCTATTAAAACACCATAAAATATTGATGTCCTAGTCTAAAATATTTCTTACAAAATTATGATTATATATAAGATTTTGGATGCCTGATTTATCAACAAACGATCTGAGAAGACACACAGACTCTTAAGGTATACAGCAATTATCAGTTTTTCTGCTGTTGAACAATTAGGAACATTTTTGCAAATAAAATTACAAGATTCATGCAAAATATTTCAATTGAGATTATACGAGATTTAAACACCTTAATATGAAGAAAAATACAAAAATATTTCGCACAAACTGATAATTAGCCAATTGAACTTATAGTTCACTTACTTTGCTGTGCCTGCAGCATGTCTTCCAGCTTTTTCCGGTCAATTCGAAATCTCTCTTCTTTCAAGTCGCTTTCAAATAACTCGCTCAAGTAAGATTTCGTGCTGAAATCGCTGTCTGAAGCGCTATCCTTGGGATCTTCATTGCTTGTGGATGCTGGAGATTCAGGATTGCTGCTCAGCGAATGACTCACTCTAGTCTGGAATGTTGGACTGAACATTTCGAGGCCTGTCAAACTGCTGGGCACGTACGTGAACAAAAGGATTGAGAAGAGGAGACAGCTAATTATTAAACCATTTGCTTAGACATGCGCATTACTATTCATTAGCACCGTAATCTCTGCGTCACTATTTTTACCGTTAGTAGTACAGTTACAAGAAGGTAAGATGTGGTGAGAGGAGGAAATGTGATATTCACTTCTATCCTTTGTTGCATGAAAAGTAGGTCCAGCAGTGGACTGATCGTTAAGACACGGTTCCCAGCAGATCACCGAAGTCAAGCATCACTGGCTGCGGTCAGTGTGCAGGTGGGTGACCACTTGGATTAGTCTGCGTAGGGACCGAGGGTGTGCGGTATTGGTCCTCGTTAAACTGTTCTACCGTAAAGTGCTCGACTACGCGTGCAGGTCGTCGGGCTACTGAAGCGGGGGTGCCGCCCCCTCTGCAGAGGATCAAAATCGTGATGGCATGTCTTCGGATCATCCTCAGGGATGTTTCCCAGACCGTCGCCAATAGCCCATTGTGCAGCTCTAGTACGACGTAAATGAACTACAACAACAACAACCTATGATACATGCAACCACTTTAAAAACTTTGATTTTGAACTGACTTTGATCAGAGAGAATAGATAGCAGGTCCGAATCCCAAAAATGTCTGAAACACTTCAATAGAGAAAGGGAGCCGTGGTTGCTTAGGGGATAGAGTGTCACCTACCAATGAGGTTAACCGGGTTCGAATCCCAGCGATGGCTATTCGATACGAATTCGCGCAAACCACAGTGTTGAAGTAAAATATCCTATGTGATAGACGGATCATGGGTTAGAGTTTCCTTGCCGTCGGGCTATCCGTGGGAAGTTTTCGTGGTTTTCCTCCCCATTCAAAGCAAATACATGTTAGTTTCATTAAAAAGTCCTCCGCGGAAGCAAATTTCTCCCAATACCTGATCCAGAAGTTCCCTTGTCTTCTGTTTTGGGTTAAAAATTACGAGGCTACAGAGTTGAACATCAGTGACGTAAACACAAAATTGGATCGGCTGTTCAATAAAATAAAGTAGATAAAAGGTACGTACTTAAATTGCGTCGCACTAGAGCTGTTCAATGGGTTATTGGCGATGACCTACGAAACATCTTTGAGGATTATCCGAAGACATGCCATCACAATTTTGATCCTCAGCTGAGACGATTGCTTCCCCGCTTTGGTAGCCCGACGACCAGCGCGAGCACTTTACCGTAGAACATTTTAATGATAGCCTATACCGCTTACCGTGGGTTCCTACGCAGGATAATCAAAGTGGTCTCCTACCCGTTTATTGACAGCAGCTAGTCATGCATGACTTCGGTGATCAACTGGGAACAGTCTCTTTACCCTTATGAAAAAATCGAGGTATAAATGAGGTATAAACGAGGTATATTTTAAAGGTATAAAGGAGGTTGTTGTTTAAATACGTCGTAAAGGTTGAAAAGGGTGCAAATGAATACCTCAAAATCAACCTCAAATATACCTTAAATATACCTCCAGAGGTATATATGTTTCAGCCTGAAGTATATTTTTTTACACTTGTGGAAGTATTTATTCAATGAAGAATTATAACA